ATTGTAATAATTTCTAACAGTCGTGGTGGCCAGTCCCAATTCTTTTAGCTAGAAGCATCTGCCGGGTAGAACGTGTCACTGGCGAAAAAAAACTGCGGGGGAACTGTGTAAAAAACGCATCCTTGTACCGTCAGCTGGTATGCTTTCTACTGAGTTATTTATCCTTTGCACTATTAGCGTCCGATGCCATGTGTTTTGCTGAATTCGAAGCGCAACTGCTGGATTGTTCTATGACACTTTCTTAACCACACCTTCGTTTTCTCGCCTCACTCCTTCCCTCATTTCTCTGAGCGAGCTTAGAGGATCGTCACCCCGATCAATATAAAATTTGCTCATACAATAACGATTCTGATAATGAGCAACTTCAACAGATCTCTGGCCAAAAATCAGAAAAAATAGCCTGTTTATCAAAAAGAGAGCTCACATCGCGATCTCGGAATGGGCGTTTCCTGAGTGCCGCACGATCAACGAGCAATTTCAGTGCTTTGATATTTGTCAAACGAACAAAGAATCTCGTCATCATGATGCCATATTTCCACAGCTTTTTGTAGTCCCGCTTTTCGATAACTTTTTCCCTCTGTATCACACTGACCTATAACACAAAACTATTGAGATTTGCTAATGCGAAAAGATTCCGCTCCAAAAAGATGCGATCTTCGTCCCACCTTACCGCAGCTACACCCATTCCTTACCAGCTTCAACCACCGGACGGGACAACAGGCGTGGCTCAAAGTCACCAAACAGTTTAAGTTTGTACATCCACACAAACTGAGCAGAATCTCTTGACTTAGTGATTACTGTGCTATTTTTATTATTATCTTCGTTCACACTGTGACACATCTTCCTCCTGCCGCGAATCGAATGGAATAAAGTGATCCTGCTACATATTGTTTTGGTCAGCCAACAATAATATTACACGAAAAAGTATTTATTTGAATTTCCCAAATGATTTTTCATCAAAAACTTATTTGATCCTTCCTCCCCTTTTGACGATTTACGAAATGCTATAATCCCGGAGTCAAAACTTGGATGATACGGTGATATTTATCGCTAACGCCCTACGGATATGTCCCTGACTCCAGAGGTCGGTGTTACTTATGTTTACTGTGCGAATCCTAGGACAAACTTTAAATTCAGCAATGCTAACCTGATAAGTTAAATGTCCGCAAGACTGGGTGATCTAAATTCGTTACTAGGCAAGATACTTCTCTTCCAATCCCGTTTTTTAACGCACTTTTTAGCTACTTAAAGACCTTTTTAAACATTTGCACCAAGTGATTATTAAAGAGTGAATATAATTCGTTTGCATCCCTCTCGATTTACTGTTGTAATGAGGTTTAGCATAACTCATATTTGAGGTTGGAGGCCGCCTCAGACACCAGTCTGGGAAGTATGGTCGAATAGTGTTTTACTAAGACTTGCTTATAAATATGCTGAATGTAGTGTTCAAGTTAAGACAAAGAAGAAGACGAATTATGTGCTTTACAGGAAATATTGGAACGCCCGAGCATTTGAAAAATTAGAAAAAAGAAATCCTGCGTGGCAAGTTTAAATTCGTCACTGAAATGATAGTTTATTACTGTATTAGTTTTATTTTTCCAGGACACCTTCCGCTTCGTGCTAAAGCGGTAAGTAGATGAATATGTGCAAAAATAATCTCAAATTGCTGCTCCGTGTCTCAAATAAGATCAGGAAAAGTAACAGGATGCTTAGCAATCGACTAGTTCATCCGTCCAATTTATTTTTGTGAGCAGATTCAACTAACTCAACAACGAAAACGTACTTTCGGTGTGATAGCAACGGCTCTCATCCACGGGTGATTCAAGCATTGTACCGCAGCAAAACGCTTCCTCACATCCACTATCAACAAACGACTAATCTAAAAAAAAACTACTGTCGAAAAAATAAAATAAATAACGACTCGCACCAAGGCGGCCGGTGCAATTTTGCGTTTTTTGCAATTTCGTCCACCGAACGACTGCCTGCTAATGATTTTCACTGCTCTAAATTTAAATTTGAGGGGCTGCACGTGGGCAGAGGACAGTCCCCCAAAATTTCAGCTTCCTAGATTCCGTGGTTCCCGAGATAACAATTTACTTGCCAAAAGTTCCACAAGGCGGTAGGTGATATCCGAGAGAGTGGGAACGCTGAATTTGAACTTGCGAGGTCGTACGTGAGCAGAGAGTCATTACCCATAAAACTTCAGTTTCCTAGTTCCCAAGACAATAATTCTCCTTGCCAAAACTTTTACGGGACTGTACGTGTTATCCGCGAGTACGGGAAGGCTGAATTTAAATTTGCGGGGTTACACGTGGGTGGGAAACGTCCCTCTAAATTTTCAGCTACTTAGCTTTTGTGGTCCCAAAGTTGAAAGCTGCGGGCAAATCGCTGCGGACACACATACGCAGACAACTCAGTGACAATATGAGTTTTGTACTGATGTTACATAGCACAAAACGCATAAAAAGAAAACACTTGCATGAGACACATCATGTGGTGCGACAGGAAGAACTCAGTGGTTTAACTTGATGGGCAGAAAGGAGCTAACCAAGTCTTTGGCATCGGGCGTAATCTGAGACCATTGCTCCGCTCGAAATTCATATTTTGCTTCTTGTATCATACGCAACATGATCAGCTGCCGACGATGATAAAAAGGAGCGCAACCAGCCAGCCTAAACACAATATAATACGACCCATACACCCAGCCTTTGAGGATGATGGGGTAAAGCGCGAACCGAGCAAGACTTGTAAAACCTCTCCCTCACAACCTCATAAGCATAATACATTGCTCAGTTTTCCTCTGCCCTGTTACTTTTGTATCCTCTTCTCCTATCAGATAAGCGGGGGAGGGAAGGGAGACAATTCCTAAATTTCAGCTAATATGCATGGACCCAAAAAAGTATACACACATAAATACAATTTACTTATCAATACCAAGAAAAATCAATGTCATATTCAACAAGATAACATCTAGCTTCCTCTTTCAACGTTAGCTATCGAGACTACGCGTTTAGGAAGGAAAAAACATACAGAGTGTATAAAATAACACCAAGAGCCCAGTCGTCAACTTCAACACTGTATCCTTCAGCATCCTCATACATCTGACACTTCAGCATTTCTGGAGCCAAATAACCAGGCGTACCAAGTAATTCTAAAACATAACCAAATTACAGAATGTCAATGTAACAGCTATTTGCAAGTATCATTAAATCGGCTCTTCTACAAATTAGATGTTGTATACGGAAAGAGCGAGTAAAAATCTCCCAACAGCATTAAAAATAATTGGCCCGAGTACGGGCTGCCCGTGGGAAGATGCATTTTTTGCATAGCTCCCCCCAAATTTTTGTCGCTAACGGGATTGGTTTTTCCGGCAGATACTTCTAGCTAAAAGAATTCCCGACCAGCGGCCAGGACTGCCAGGAAACGTCCCTTCAAAATTCTAGTCTCCTAGCTTCTCACGTTCCTTACCCGAAAAAAATTTTGGCAGGCCCGTGCGCGGGTACCACGCTTGCCCGGGGGCTGTGTTTGAGCTCGTTAATACGTGCTTGGACGGGGAACATCACCCTAAGACTTCAGCTTTCTAGCTTCTCAGATTCCTGAGTTATGAACTTACTCGAAAAAAATTTTGGCGGACCCGCACGCGGGTACCACGCTTACCCATGGGCTAGGTAAGATTTCAGCGTTCCAGCTTTTCATACCCCAAGTTATGAAAAAATTACCCGCGAAAAAACTTTGGCGGGCCCATACGCGGGCACCACGCGGGTAACGGCCTAGGGCTCGTACGTACATGTAGATTAAGTTCCCAAAGTTTCAGCCCTGCAGCTTTTTGTGGGTCTTGAGATGAAAAATCGGGACAGACGCACACACGGTAAACTGCAGCCTCCAAGCTCGTGTGGCTACTCAAACAATAACATCTTCCGCCAAGACTCTCGCGAGACCGTACGTGACACCTAGACGTTGATTAAGGCTGAATTTAAATTTGCGAGGTCATACTTGCACGGAGAAAATACTCTAAAATTTCAGTGCGAACACAGACAAACACACACATATGCAAATAGCGGCGTAACAACATGCGTTTTATGCAGCTGCTACACGGCACAAAACGCATAATAAATAACGAGGTGCATCAGGGTGGCCGGTGCGATCATCAATTTTGCGAAATTCGTCCAGCTTGCCTGCGAAAAATTTGATAATTTTACATTCTCGTGTGTGTAAAAATGATTGATATGTTGTCTGGCTTCTAAGCTGCGGAGTTTTTCATTAAAAATTTCACATTCAGGTACGTGGAAACTGAAATAGAAAAAATGGACGAGGAATATCCTTGCAAAATTTCAGCCTCTTAGTTTTCCAACTTCCAGACTAGTGAGTTCCGCATCAAAACTCTCACACTGTCGTAACATCTCAGCATACTTCCCAGCTAATGTATGAAAATATCAGAACATTTTGTACTTATTCACGGCAAATTCATATTGATTCTTAATGCTACTCAACACTCAATCTAAAAAAAAAATAAGTCAAATTCATGAAAAACGAATAACGGCCGAAAACAGACAGCTACCTCGGAGCTTTTGACCAGGCTGCAGCTGTGTCGCGAAACCAAAATCGCTGATTACAATTCTTTCATCGTCAACACACAAGATATTTTCCAGCTAAAAAAAAAAAAAACTACTTTTTTACAAATAAAACAATTAAAAAAGATAAAATAGGCACAGGAATATAAATGCATGTGAATAACTGACAGTGAATCTGCTCCCGTTACACTAATCCATGCCAAAACCACGCAGCAAACCTCTTCTAGCTTATCAGCAAAGCAAGATGCAGAGTGTTCCAGTTAAAAAATGGAAGGCGCTCAGCAGTGAATTACCAGAGCGGACGGCACAGTTTTCGCCATGTGGCCGAGCAAGTACTTTGCAGAGAGAAATAGGACCAGCATTTACAGAGGAGAACCCTCTGAATGTGCCGAAGGGTTCTCGCATAGCAGGTGCAAGCAGCTCCAGACGCATCTCAACAGCACGATCCTCCACACAAACTGTTCGGGTGTACTCCGCTATACAATTAATTAACAACTGAAATGTATTTTTTACAGGTTCAGCCTTCTTTTTTGTACGGGGTAATCCGATACAAGAAAGATGGCACAACCTGTTGGATCCAGAAAAGCCCACGATGCAACAATTGCTTGAAATGAGTCATGCGAAACAACCCCTTCGTATGTATCAATATGCCACGCAGTCCGTTATGTTTGCAGCATGCGCGTCTTATTGGGAAGATGGAAGCAGAAAGGATTACCTTCAGATCTCTATGTACGATATTCTTCTCATGCATAAAAGCAACGCCATCGAAAAGTTGCCGCATAAGACGCCTCGCCTTCTTCTCACTAACTGTCACTGACTTATTCAGCAGTTCGAAAAGTTCTCCCTTTGGAGCCCTAAAACAAAAACATTCCTGTGGTGCACAAATGAACTTTCCATATAATTCATTTCCCGACCCTTTTCGTTCTCTTTATTCAGCTCAGACACACCATCCTGCCGCGCATCTTCAAAAATATTCTCTAGAAAAGGAGGCACCCGAAAGTAGTGCATGTAGCAGCAGCGCCAAAAAAAGCTTTTCTCCGTTTTCAGCTTCATCTTCAGACGGTTGCACAGGGTCGGTGCTTTCTTCTCCTCAGGTAATCAAATACACTAACACGATCCAAAAAATAAATAGCGGAGCGCACTAGGGTAGCCGGTGTGATCATGCATATTGTGCAATTCCGTTCAGCAGAAAATTGCCTGCTAATGATTTCCACTGCCCCGACGAAAATTTCACGAGGCCTAAGTGATACTCCGACGCGCAGGAAGCTGAATTTAAAATTGGAAGGTTGAATGTGGAGAGAAGACATTACCACAAAATTTAGCTTCTGGCTTTTATGTTTCCAGAGACAATAATTTTCCCGCCAAAATTTCCATGGGCTGTATGAGATACCCGAGAGCGTAAGAACGCTGAATTTGAATTTGCGAGTTCGTACGTGGGCAGGGGGTCATTATTCCAAAATCTTAGTTTCCTGGATTTCCTGGCCCCCGAGATAATTTACCCACCAAAAGTTTCACGGAGCCGTATATGTGATCTGCGGGCACGGAAAGGATGAATTTAAATTTTGCAGGTTACGCATGGGCAAGGAACATACCCATAAAATCTCAGCTTTCTGGATTTTGTAGTTCCCCGCTAAAACTTTCATGAGGCCATAGGTGATACCCGAAAGCGCGGGAACGCTGGATTTGAACAGGCAAGGTCGGGCGTGGGCAGAAGGTTATTACACTGAAATTTCAGCTTCGTATATTCAGTGGTTCCCGAGATAATAATTTGCCCGTCAGAAATTTTCACGGAGCCGTATATGTTACCCGCTGGTAGGGGAAAACTGAATTTAAATTTTTTGGGTAGCACATGAGTGGGGGACATGCCCACAAGACTTTAGCCTTCCAAATTCCGTGGTTCCCACGATAATAATTCTTCCCGTCAAACTTTTGCGGGGCCGTACGTGTTACCCACGGGCACGGGGAGGCTGAATTTAAATTTGCGGGGCCACACGTGAGTGGGGAACGTTCCCCTAAATTTTCAGCTTCCTAG